TGCTGGAAAGCACCCAGTGTAACACAGTGAATCATACATCCTTGTTGTTTGCTTACGTTAAACAAGGATGAAACGATTCGCTGTGTTACACTGTATTTGATTGTGTCCTTGCTGGAAAGCACCCTGTGTCTCCTAAAAGGAAAGCAGCCAGATATATAATTTCCACCGCGCGACAAAAGTTGAACTCAATCCAACTTTTGCCGCGCGGCGAAACTGACGGAAATAATATTTACATCATTTCTAGAAGTTTTGCATGGTGAGAACGACTTGAGGATATTCCACACAAACTTGCATAGTCGCATAAACATATGCATAAAGAAAATCATCCAATCGTAGTTTACGTTTGTCTGTATGACAGAAATGTGATTGGATAATTTTCTTTATGCATATGGTTATGCGGTTCTGCAAGTTTGTGTGGAATGGCTCCTGCATACTGGACACGGAAATGCTTGCCGCGCGGCTAAATGAGACGCGGTAACCAATGAACATATTAAGAGCTGTAAGCTTATTGGCTACCGCATCACATTTTGCCGCGCAGCAAGCGTTTCCGCGTCCAGTGTGCAGGAGCCATTAAGAACATAAAATTGTTGGTTAGTGCAACAACTTCCACCGCGCGGTAAAGCGGGGAGCACAGACTCTTGCATAACGCATAACACGTAATGCATAAGAATATGTACCAATCGAAGTTCTCCGTTTCTTTCCCTTCCATGTAATAGAGAACTCTGGTTGGTTCAATTTCTTATGCCTTATGCAAGAGTCTGTGCTCCCCGCTTAAGCGTTACCGCGTTCTGTGTGCAGGAGCCAGTAGTGAGTGAGTAGAAGCTACGATTGGAGGAAGTAGGAGCATGTTGGAGCATGCGACGCGACAGAGATATATGAGTATAAAGCTGGCCGTACACGATGCTTGTTTTCCTGCTGGATTGCTAACTGGATTAAAATCTTGCTACCGTATTGGCCGCGGTCCTGCCAGTGCCAGTATTGCAGTCAATGGCTGCGTTCAGCAGACTCAACAGTTTTGCAACCGTTTTATGATTCATCGCGCTGATTGGATTATACTTTTAGATTTAAAAGAATAGTCCTATCTTAGAGCGAAGAATCACAAAACGGTTGCAAAACTGTTGAGTCTGCTGAACGCTGCCAATATGGTGGCAAGATTATAATACAGCTAGCAATCCTGCAGGAAAACAAGCATCGTGTGCCGCAGGCTTAACTATAGGGTTTCTAGCTTGCGACCTTCTAGCTTGATGCCTACGATACGACCAATGTAGATTAGGCTTTAAAGTAAAGTCGCTTGGCCTTATATTTGTATTATGTCTATGGTATCGAAACTTGTATCAGAGTGCTTTTCAGCATTACGGTATGATGGTTTGTTGGAACGGTATGGAGTAGTGATCAGCGAATATGAAGAAATGTAGTAAAATAATAGTGTTATATTATGGTTTAGCTTCATTGCGTTTAGATAGTTTGGTTATGTGCCTATAATGATATACCTTCCGGAGCTTAACTTAAGTATAACATGAGTGCAAAGTAATAGAGGAAATTGTGTTCCAAATAATCAGTGTTACTATTTATGTCTTTTTTTGTCAGTGTGTGTGTGTGTTGATCGCAAAATATGGTACATAGAGGCGAAAAGGTGGATAATTTCTCATGGTACACAAAATTGTTATATCGTTATTAAGAGGTTATATAAGGTAAGTTTTTTTAAATCCTATACTTGTTAAATTTTTACATTTCTTCACAAATGCATATATATATATATACACATTTCCCTTCCAATTCTCTCTCTTCCATTCTTCCCTTTCTCTCACCCTCCTTTCCTCTCTCTTTCTTTCCCTTTTGTCTTCATTCCTTCCTCTCTTCTCTTGTCTTCTGTCCCACATTAATTTCCTTTTGTCTCCTCTTGTCTATCTTTTCTACTCTTTCGTGCTGGATTGATTCCCAGACCCGATTCAGCTGGCTGGGCATGTATTTGAAATTTTATTTAAAACAGTTTTTGAAAT